GTCCGAGTCTGGTGCTATTTTAAGGAGCCCTCAGTGGTTGAACATCTGGCTGCTAACCCAACATCAGCGGTTGGAACCCACCCAATGATTCAGTGGGAATCTGGTTCTTGAAAGATTAGAGATGAGATAACATGATTGTGCTGCTCTATTATGTCACATGGGGAAGCTATGATTCAGAATGGACTCAATGACACATGGCAACAGCATAATAGAAAACAAGAAAACACCACCGTCCTCCAATTGATTCCGACTCAATGGTGCCCCCGTGCATGTTTGAGGCTGCAAATCTTTCTATGAGCAGAAGGGCTCATCTCCTCCTGCCAGCTGGCTGGTGGCTCTGAACTGATGAACTAGTGGTTAATAGTCCAATGTTCAATCTACTATGCCACGACGACTCTTCAACCGCATGATGCAGAGCAACCTACGTGTGACTGGAGTGTAGATATGTTTGATTGATTCAAGATTAGACATGTGCTCCCACTTGAATGCCCAACCAAAAGTGTTATTCATAAATATGACATTGAGGAGAAGACCCCACGGTCATACTTGATCGGGGGCGGGGGGTGGGGGGCACTAAGTGAGCTGCTTACAGCGAGATGATTGTAGCTGCTGTTGTGAGATGCCCGGAGTGGTTCTGACTCACAGTGACCTCATCTACAAAAGAAGGAGACGCTGCCCAGTCCTGTGCCATCCTCACAATTGTTCTTATGGTTGAACCCATTGTTGCAGCCACTGTATCAATCCGTCGTATCGAGGGGCCTTCCCCTTTTTTGCTACCCCTCTACTTGACCACGCATAGATGCCCTTCTACAGGGACTGGTCTCGCCCGAGAGCAGGTCCAAAGGATGCACTCTGGCTGTGGGTTCTTTGGCTAGTCCACTAAACTTAACTGAAAGCATCTTTGACAGAGTGCTTTTCCATTCTCCTTATCCTCGGGCCACCAAACACTGGGAATAAGCATTAGCTCATTGAACCGGCAGTGCACGTGGCAGTGCAATTCGATCTCCGAGTCATAATTTGACCCAGAGAATACCGGAGTGTTTGCAGTGTGGGTGGCTTCCCTGACGAGGATATTTATAGCACAGGAGGCTTCGATCTTTCTTCCTGAAGTAGAATTTGATTATCATGTTAGCAACGGAGAAATGAGGCTAAACAGACATTCGCGATTCTAAGGCTAAGTATAACAGTGAGGTTCGAATAGCTCTTATATGTCTAAATAGAGTGATTTTAGCGAAAACATGTTTCTCTCTCTTTGCAGAACCTTCGCTGGCACGTTTTTCTCATTGTTTTTCTGGTGTCTCACGTGTCTGGGTGACCACTTGGAAATCCTCGAGGGTAGAGATCTCGGGAACGTATCTCCAAAGTGTCTGTCTGTCTGTCCGTCTCTCTCAGGTGCTGCCATATTGTAAGTGCTTCACAGGCAGAAGGTTGGGAAATTAAGCAGCATAAATGAATAATAAGCCCTAACTTCTATTTCACGGAATTCTCCAGAGCAGGAAAAGGAAAGGGATTTGTTTGGTGCCAGGGGAGAGTCGTGGTCAGGAGCCGAGGCAGTGCAGTCCCTGCCACTCAGCACATGCAGACCATGAAGACACACATGAAACCTGGCTGCTCGTCACCTGCGCAAATGGTGTGCTTCAAAGGCCACAGCTATTTGGTGCTATTGTTAAACATGTTAAAAGCTGACAAGAGACATTTATTCAATTCAAAATCAAATTATAACCTCACCTTTTCCTAAACAATTAGCCCTGGTGGTGCACTGGTTACATGTAGGACTGTGAAGCACAAGGTCTGCGGTTTGAATCCACCAGCTGCTCCGCATGAGAACAATGAGGCTTTCTGCTCATAAAAAGTTACAATGTCGGAAACCCACCTGAGCAGTTCAATCCTGTCCTATGGGGTCGCCATGGATCAGAATTGGCTCAATGACAGTGAGTTTTTGAGACGCTTCATAAGTAAATAAGGAAGACCACAGAAGATTCGATGCCTTGGAACTATGGTGTGGTGACGAACATGAACTACACTGTGGATTTCCACAAGAACGAGCAAATGTGTCTGGGAAGGGGTATAATCAGAAGGCTGCTCAGAAGGGAGAATGGAGAGATGTCGGCTCATGTAGTTCGGACATGTCAGTGGGAGGGACTAGACTTTGGAGAAGAACATCATGCTCCATAGAGGGTCAGAGTTAAAAAAAAAAAAAAAAAGACATCCCTCAATGTGATGGATTGACATAGTGGCTGCAACAATGGGCTCGAACATGGGGCAGTGTTTTGGGCTGTGCTTGTATAGAGGGTCCTTATGGGTCGGAACCTAACAGCAGCAATAACAACAGCAACAACAAGACCTGCTTTGATCACGTCTTTGGAGAGAAGAAATACTAAATGTGTTTAAAATCAGCATTGGGAATGCCATGTCCCATCCACAGTGTCAGTGGGCCCACTGGTTTCACAAGGCCCTATTTCATGTCCAACTTTTAGGCAGAAAAATCACGGTAAAGAACCCAGATAAAAAAGAGCAGCGTTGTTGGACAGCTCCGATGTGGCTTGAATCCGAGCATCTGTCCCATGCTGACCCTACTGCTTTCCAGAGCTTCCCAGAGACTTCAATGCTCATTCCTTCAGGCTTGCACTGACCCTGTGTGATATCCAGGCATGCTGCTCTTGGTGCAAGTGGTGTGCAGTACAGGGAACACGGACAAGATCCCTGCCTGTAGGGTGTCTACCCTCCGAAATGAAGCAAAACTAAACAAAAGAAACTCCCTACCACCCATCAGTCTGACTCTCAGAGATCCTGGTGATGCAGGGCTCACAGATGGGGCTGGTATCTGCAAGGAGCAACAGCTGCTCTGTGGGACAAACGTGAGACTTTCTATGTCGGCAAAGTACATTTGGAAACCCACAGGGGGCAGTTCTACTCTGTCCAATGGGGCGGCTACCACATGAAATAAAGTCTAGCGAAATAAAGCACCTGCCTAGTCACTCCCTCTTTTATGTCAAATAGCACGCCGCACCATTCAATCCTGTCCCACCTGGGGCTGACAGGTGCTGCTGAGTGGGCTCTGGCTCACCGTGGGTCCATGCACCCATGTACACCAGAGAGCACACTGCCTGCAGCACAGTGCATCAAACACGGCTTTTCTAGCCCCAGTCTCAGCACTTCCATCCAATGACCTTTCCCGGAGAGGTCTGGGTAAGAGAACATGGGGCAAGGTACTGAGAGGAATCAGTCTTGAGGGATTGCTAACAGGATTCATTGGGCTTGCCATCCTGTTGAGCACAGAATCAGCCATCTCTGAAGCCATTTCTCCCTACCAGCCAAAGAGGAGCCAGGAGCGGAGTGGGTCGGTGGGAACCGGAGACCCCCTACACATTGATCCTCCTTGATCCAGGAGACAGTAGTGGTGCCAGAGGAATCCTAGAGGAGCAGCAAGAACCGAACCAAAAGTGAAGCAGGGGACAGCGTGGTGGACTTCCTAGTCCACGGAGCAAGTGAGGTTGAGGACTCTGGGGCAGGGGCTGGCTTGGGGGGTTGAGTGCCCCCAAGCACTTAACTGGAGGAGCTGAGCATGCTAACCCATAGAGCTGGAGCTGAATGAATTCAGGCTACAGCTGATGGCAGCATGGCAAGCCCTTTGGGTATTGATTGGCAGACCTCAAAGAGCTTTCTAACATGCCTGAGCAGGGCGGGTCAGACAGAGGCTTAGGGCCTGCCTTCGGGCACAGCAGAGAAGAAAGTGTTCTGACTGTATCTGTGAGCGCTTTCTGTGAGTCCTATGTGGGCACTGCACGGAAGCCTCAAACCCAGCGGAGAAGTAGCATGCAGGACAAGCAGAGTACCATGGAAGAAACCGTTTGTGTCCAAATAGGGTTAAGAAGGATGGAGGGAGGAGGCATGTCAGACCCCTGCCTGGTGGCAGTCAGCCTTGGGGGCCAGAAGAGGTCAGATGTGTGCCCCCCCCTCCCCCCTTGTCTTTCACTGCCCACTTCTGGGCCATCTTCATCCTTGTTCCTAGGTGTCAGCCCATTGCTGCATAATGAAGATTCGCATATGCATCTGTTTTTCTTCTTTATTTTCTCCCCTTTTGCTCCATTGCCCATTTGCAACAGAAAGGGAATGCAATGTTCCCTGGAGGCAGACAGAGTTCTCCTGAGAAGCTCAGTGTTGATTAAAGTAATGTAGTCCTTCATCTTTACACACAGCAGAGCCACAGTAATCACTGGAAAAATCATTTAAATTCAAAAGATAGTTAAAAATATGGTAACATGCCTCTAGCTATGGAGGTCAACGCACCCTTCACAGGGATTGCTGATCGCACTTTCTTCCATGATGGGGCCTCGAACGCCCGCCCAGGAAGCCCCCAAACCAAGGGGGGAACATCGAAACAGAAAGAATTTGCTCTTGGAAATGCATTTTGTCTGCACATGACTCTCTCAACAAACTGCAAACACCGTGCAACTTAGGAAATAAAGCGAGAGAAGCTTTTTGGTGTTTTTTTTTTTTATATTGTGAACTATTTCTTTCTTTTTTTAATAATTAAATCATTTCATTGGGGGTTCATACAACTCTTATCACAATCCACACATCCATCCATTG